CGTCGTGTGCGCAGCTATGACTGGGTCTAGCTGTTGCTCTGGAACCTCACTATTGGAGCTTGAGGGACCTTAAGGAGATCAGGCCTCCGTAAAGGGACAGTATTATCAAGACATGGGCCGGGGAGTCAGAATCACTAGGTTTGAAGTTCATTGCCATCTCTAGCAACACAGATAAGTCAACCTCGTGACTCCCAGGTTGCTTGTCTGTAATGAAGATAATGATAGCGCCAGCCTCACGGAATTATTGGGGATGATTTAACTGAATACATGTGAAGCCCTGAGAGTAGTATTCACACATGGCAGCGTGCGTAATACATACACAGAACACGGTGAATAAGCGTTCGATACTTTCATCACCTCCCTGAAGTCTGGATGACTGTGCTTCTTGGTTTTTGTTTTTGTTTTTGTTTTTTTTTTTTGAGAGGTTTTCGCTATAGGGCGCGTGCACTCCCAGACAGACAGACAGAGACAGAGAGACAGAAAGCGAGAAATCACCCCCCAGAGGGGATGGTCACGCCGCAATCCCTTCTCCTCCATTCTCCTCCCGGGATCTTGGGCGCGCACGCACACGCGCCCGGCGTGAGTTTTAAGCCACCGGGTCCGGGACGCGAACCGCGGTCGACTACGTGGTAATCCAGCGACATAGCCATTACGCTAACTGCTGGTTCCCTGTGCTTCTTGTTTTATGAAGACCTATCTTTGTCCCATATCACAAATGATTTTATTGAGTGGATCTGAAACTTTCAAAGTGATAGGAAATAAGTGGAAAAGATTTAGTTCATCAGTGACATCTTATTACTTTATTTGAAAACACCATTTGCCCTCTACAGTTAGATGTTTCCTGCTTACTTTAAAAGCTCACTTTTGTTTTGGAACAGAGCCGTCCCTTTGTTATGGGCTACATGAATGAAAGGAAAGAGCCTTTCTATAAGGTACTGTTCTCTGGAGAAGTCTCAGGAAGAATTACTTTGTGGCACATCCCCGATGTTCCTGTATCTAAGTTCGATGGTTCTCCTAAAGGTATGACAGAGTCCATTTCTTTTTCTTTTTCTTTTCTTTCTTTTTTTTTTTTTAACTTAGATTTTTCTTGCTATTAGGCATGTGTGCTTGCTGAAGAGACAGAGAAAAAGAAAGCAAGAAATCACCCTCTTGGGTGGGGGGGATGGCCACATTGCAGTCCCTTTTCTATTTTTGTCTCGGGATCTTGGGCACATAAACACACATGTCTGGCATGAGTTTTGAGCCACCAGATCTGAGACATGAACTGCAGTCAACTATGTGGGAGTCCAGTGACGTAATCATTATGCCATCTGCTGGTCCCAACAGTCTCCATTCCTTTTTTTTTTTTTAAATAATTATTTTAATTTTATTTACTCATTCATTTATTTTAATTTGACCAGAGAGAGAAGAAAGAAAGCAAGAAAGCAAGCCACCAGTGGGGACCAGCAGTTAGTGTAATAGCTATGTCACTGGACTCCCATATAGTCGATCATGGTTCGAGTCCCAGACCCTGTGGCTTAAACTCATACCAGGCATGGGTACGTGTGTGCCCAAGATCCTGAGAGGAGAATGGAGGAGAAAGGATTGTGGGATTGTGGCATGGCCATTCCCCTGGGGCGGGTGATTTCTTGCCTTCTATCTTTCTGTCTCTCTCTGTCTTTCTGGCGAGTGCACACACCCTATAGCAAAAACCTCTCAAGAAAAAAAAAAAGAAAGAAAATGAAAAAGAAAAGAAAGCAAGCCACCAGGTCCAGGACTTAAACCATAGTCTGCGGCCATGTAGGAGTCTCCAGTGCCACCTGCTGGTCCCTGAGAGTCTCCATTTCTAATCCCATGTCTCCCAAAAACAAATTTGAAATTAACACAGTGGTTTTCTTCCTTTTCTTCCTTCCTTCTATCCTTCCTCCCTTCCTTCTTTCCTTCCTTCCTTCCTTCTTAGTTTACTATAAGACTCATATACTTGCAAGAGAGAGTGAGAGAGAAAGAGAGAGAGAAAGTGAGAAAGCACCTCCGAGGGGAGATGATCACACTGCAATCCGTTCTCTTTCATTCACCGCTCAGGATTTTGGGTATACACACATGCACCTGGTATGTTTTTCAAGCTGTTGAGTCCAGGACTTGAACCTTTTAGTTAGTCATGTGGGATCCAGCCACCTTAACCACTATGCCATGTAGCTGGCCCCCTGGCCCCTGGGTTTTCTAAGGTGAGTAAGCTGGTGCTACACACAAGGAAAATTTTCTCATGTACCACTGTGTGTTAAATACCAATGTAAAAGCAGGCAAAATTATGAAGCTTATAGATTTCAAATAATAATTTGACTGATATAATTCAAATGAATGTCACATGAACTAACAAGGAATAATGCTGATCATATGAATATGGTATAGGGTAGTGGACTTTATTTATATTTTTAAAGGGATGGTGCCTTGATAATATTTTCCATATCTATAATGAGTTGATAAACCCAATTTTCCTTTTCTGTGTGTTTTCTTTCTAGAAATACCAATCACTACCACCTGGGCCCTTCAAGATAACTTTGATAAGCACCACATTGTGTCACAAAGTCTTACTGACCATTTCTCCAAGTTCAGAGATGGGGCAGGCACTGCCGTGGTCACTTCATCAGAGTATGTCCCAAGTCTTGATAAACTCATATGTGGCTGTGAAGATGGGACGATTTTTATTACACAGGCTTTGAATGCTGCCAAAGCAGGACTTCTAGAAGGCGGTTCCTTATTAAAAGGTTAAGTTTATTTAATTTATCTAAGCTTCAACTTTAGTGAGCTGAACTACAGAAGAGCAGAGGCCTAAAGAATTTGCTGGCTTTTCCTGATAAGTTTGTCTATTTTTTCCCCCCAGGTTTTTGCCATAGAACATGTTTGCTCACTAGAGAAAGACAGAGAGAGGGAAAGTGAGAAATCAAATCAGCCCCCAAGTGGGGATCCCGGCCATGCTGCAATTCTCCTGATTCTCTTCTAGGAATTTTGTGCACATACGCATGCATTCCTGGCATTATTTTCAAGTTGCTGGGTCCAGGACTTAATTGCGATTGGCCATGTGGGAATCCAGGGCATTAACCACCTGCTGGCCCCCTGGTTTTTTTTTTGGAGAGGTTTTCGCTATAGGGCATGTGCGCTCGCCAGACAGAGAGAGACAGAGAGACAGAAAGCGAGAAATCACCCCCCAGAGGGGATGGTCACACCGCAATCCCTTCTCCTCCATTCTCCTCTCGGGATCTTGGGCACGCACGCACACGCGGGTCTGGGACGCGAACCGCGGTCGACTACGTGGGAGTCCAGTGACATAGCCATTACGCTAACTGCTGGTTCCTGGCCCCCTGTTTTAATGTTAAAGTAAAATTTCTTGTTTTTAAAAAGCACCTCAAGTGAAGGTTATACAGTGAGAAATAGAAGTTTCTCTCCTTACTTAATCTTCTAGTTCCTGTCACCCAAAGCAACTGCTTCTAACTATTTGTTTTACCCTTCTTAAACTTTCTGTGGTATGCAAATGCATACCAGAATAGCAGTATACATCTTTTCAATTATATTACACAGATACAAGCACACACTACACAGTTCACTGAGCATCCTTAAACAAATCTTCACAAAATATTGTAGAGTTCATTGCTTATGAAGTTGTTCTAAATGATTAGTAATAATCAAATTTTAATTTATAAAGTCTCTTACTGGATAAGCCAGTGGCATGGTGGTTAAGTCAGCTGGACACTTCATGGCCAATCATGAGTTTCCAGACCTGGACCTGGTTGCTTGAAAAACATTTCAGGCATGTGTGCGTAACATGCCCAAAATATTGAGAGGAGAATGGTAAAGGGAGTGGTGTGATCATCCCCTCCTGGGGTAAGAGTTAGGGGTGGTTTCTCACTTTTCCTCTCTTTTTAATCCCTCCTCCTTCCCTCCCTCCCTCCCTCCCTTCTTCTTTTCTTTCTTTCTTTTCTTTCTTTCTTTCTTTCTTTCTTTCTTTCTTTCTTTCTTTCTTTCTTTCTTTCTTTCTTTCTTTCTTTCTTTCTTTCTTTCTTTCTTTCTTTCTTTCTTTCTTTCTTTCTTTCTTTCTTTCTTTCTTTCTTTCTTTCTTTCTTTCTTTCTTTCTTTCTTTCTTTCTTTCTTTCTTTCTTTCTTTCTTTCTTTCTTTCTTTCTTTCTTTCTTTCTTTCTTTCTTTCTTTCTTTCTTTCTTTCTTTCTTTCTTTCTTTCTTTCTTTCTTTCTTTCTTTCTTTCTTTCTTTCTTTCTTTCTTTCTTTCTTTCTTTCTTTCTTTCTTTCTTTCTTTCTTTCTTTCTTTCTTTCTTTCTTTCTTTCTTTCTTTCTTTCTTTCTTTCTTTCTTTCTTTCTTTCTTTCTTTCTTTCTTTCTTTCTTTCTTTCTTTCTTTCTTTCTTTCTTTCTTTCTTTCTTTCTTTCTTTCTTTCTTTCTTTCTTTCTTTCTTTCTTTCTTTCTTTCTTTCTTTCTTTCTTTCTTTCTTTCTTTCTTTCTTTCTTTCTTTCTTTCTTTCTTTCTTTCTTTCTTTCTTTCTTTCTTTCTTTCTTTCTTTCTTTCTTTCTTTCTTTCTTTCTTTCTTTCTTTCTTTCTTTCTTTCTTTCTTTCTTTCTTTCTTTCTTTCTTTCTTTCTTTCTTTCTTTCTTTCTTTCTTTCTTTCTTTCTTTCTTTCTTTCTTTCTTTCTTTCTTTCTTTCTTTCTTTCTTTCTTTCTTTCTTTCTTTCTTTCTTTCTATGGCTAGTGCATGTACCCTACAGCATACTGAAAAAAAGAAAAAAAGAAAGAAAACCCTTATTAATTGACATTTAGGTTTTTTCATCTTCCACTATTAGGACAAAGCTGAATTGATTGTCTTTGTATATATGTGGGTACATCTGACTCATTAATTCCCAGGAGTAGAGTTACTAGACCAACAGTTGTTTGTATTTTAATTTTGAAAATATATCTATAATGTTCTATAAATAACATCATTATGCATGTATTCCAGTCATAATTTGCAACAATACCTTTCCCCCAAACGTTTTGCCAACTTTGTGCTTAAATATTTAATCTTCACCAATTAGGAGAAATATGCTGTCTTTATGTTGTAATTTTTATTTCTTCGCTAATGAAACATACATGTGTTCTTTTGTTTTGTTTTGTTTTGTTTCTGAGATATTTGTTATAGGGTGCAAGCACCTGCTGGAGAAACAGGGAGACAGAATGAGGGAAAATGAAAAATTGCCCCCTAGGGAGGGATGACCACGCTACAACCCCTTCTCCTCCATTTTCTTCTTGGGATTTTGGGCACACATGCACAAGCGCCTAGTGTGAGTTTTAAGTCACTGGATCTGGTTCTCAAACTGTGGTGGCCATGTGGGAGTCCACCGCCTTAACCACTATGTCACCTGCTGGCCCCCACATTTTTGTGTGTTGCAACAACAAATACCTATTAAATAAAGACTGTTGCAACAACAAATACCTATTAAATAAAGACTGTTTTGTAGTATGCTAACTTCTGTAAAGAAAGGATATAGATTTGATTGAAATTTTAGGGCATGTAGAAAAAATTATATGCCAATTTAAAATTATCATAGAAATCCTATTCAAGTGTAAGATCCTTAAGAGTAAAGACTAAATCTTGAAGCCAGCTAGGTGGTGTGGTAGTTAAAGAAGCTGGATCCCACATGACCAGCTGTGAGGTTCGAGTTCTGGTTCAAGTTGAAAACCAAGCCAGGTGCATGTACATACCCAAAACCCGACAAGAGAATGGATTTTAGCATGGCCATCTCCTTCTCTCTCGTCTCTCTCTGGCAAATGCATATGCCCTATGGCAAAACTAATATAAATAAAAACTAAATCTGAATTTAAAGTTTTTTTACATGGTCTATCATTCTCAGCTTGCTTTGGCTACATGCTAAATCTTACTAACTTGTGATTCAGTGATTGACTAAAGTAGGGGAGTAAATGGCAATGAACCGAGGAGAAGTAATGAACTGGTCTACAGCTAAATGGCTGCTGTTAAACGTAAGTGGACCAGCGCAGACCTTCGCATTTTTTATCTAGGCTGATTTATCCTAATATCCAGAAAACAAGCAGAAACCGCCATTTGGCTTGAGGCATCTGCATTAGCATTCATCGTGGTTTGCTCCGGCATATGAAGTGAGGATGTTCCGGGTGGAATAGAAGTAACTAAAGTATAACAGTGTTTCTTGGGGATTCATTTTCAACCATAGCAGTGAATTTCGCTGACGATGAAGGGAAAAGCAGGATGTTTAGGGAGAAGAGTAATCCACTGACCCAATAGCTTGTCAGTTCTCATGTGCTCCAGGACAGCTGCGGTTTGAAATACCCATGTGCCTACCCAGTGCTAAAGAGAATGCTAAGAAATCACTGCCCACACCAGTGTGGTCTGAAGTAAAGACTACCATTACTCAGTTTTTCATATGTGGCATATGTGGTGATAGGGAAAGGCAACATCCATGGTGACAGAGCCACGGAAAAAGGCAGATTTGTTTAACAGCAAAGCTATGCTCTTCAACATTCTGCTTTGTTTTTTCCTACCTGGATGCATGTCTCTTAAACTCTCTGAGCTTAATATACTTCTCATTTGTAAAGCAAAGAGATGCAACTAGGTCATCTCTTAATAGCTTTCAAAGCAAAGATACTCTGTAAAACTTTCTTGTGTACTAGCTCTGGTGATACTAATTTAAAGATCAGTAGTCATCCTCTGAACTTATTTTTGTGAAAGTAAAACATGTGAATTGCTCACTTTTTTAGAACAGTGTTTCCTATTTTGTGGCACTGGAATTAGTAACTTACTAACATCCTTAAAGAATTAGTGGACTTCAGGGCCAGCAGGTGGTGTGGTAGTTAAGGTGTTAAGACTCCAACATGGCTGACTATGGTTTTATCCCAGACCTGGCAGCTTGCTTTCTCCCTTTCTCTGTCTCTCTCTCATGTGTGTGCCTGTAGCAAATTAAATAATAATCATAACAAATAAAATTAAACCAATCATTCAAAAAAAGAATTAGTCAACTTCAAATAAGTAACTTTACTGCTTCATCAATAGCATGATCTGACGTCCAGTGAGGCACTTGTCTTTTGAGATGATCTAAGGTTGTTCACTAATTTTCTTAGCCATGTGCATGCTTTAATTCTATGTAGTTTCCCTATATTAAAAATGTATGAAATAGGGCCAGCAGGTAGAGGCATGGTTAAGGCACTGGATCCCACATGACCAACTCTGTAGTTTGAGTCCTGGAGCCAGTGGCTTTAAACACTCTGGGTGCATGTATGTGCATGCCCAAAATCCCAAAAGGAGAATGGAGGAGAAGGGATTGAGGCATGGCCATATCCCTGGGGGTTGATTTGCCACTTTGTCTCTCTCTGTCTCTGTCTCTCTCTGATGAGCACATGCGCCCTATAGCAAAAACCTACAAAAAAAAAAATAAAAGAAGTACAAGGTAAAATTTCAGGACTATTTCCTGAACAAAAATAACTTTTGTATTATTTGGTGTTTGGTTGTTTTTCAGATTTCCCACCTCACAAAGTTCTTCAAGGCCATCACCAAAGTGTTACTTCATTGCTTTACCCACATGGTCTCTCTTCGAAGGTAGACCAAAGTTGGATGGTCTCTGGGGATCGAGAGTCATGTGTCATCTTGTGGAATATTTTTACTGAAGAAATTTTGCATAAATTCTTTTTGGAAGCTGGTCCAGTAACAAGTCTTTTGATGTCACCAGAGAACAACAGAGTAAGTTAAGACAAAAAGTGAAAATAGCACATACATTTGAAAGTTATGTAACATCACAGAACACTTTTTAAAAACAAGGAAAAATAACTTGTATTACCACAAAAAAGGAAAAAAAAATGTTATGTGTGCCTATAATAAAAAAGTTTTAAGAATGATCTTTATATATTCCTAAATTTTGCATGAATTTTATTACTATAACTTATGCACATAATTTGGTTCTAAAGTAAAAATTTAATCAATTCTTAGCTTTACAAAATTGCACTTACTGTTTTAAGTGCTTATACTGTTTTTTTCCTTAGTTCTGCATTTTAATTTTAAAGGTGTTTCATTTTTTTAAATGAAAGCCATAAACAAGTCAATGCAAAAACAAGTCAAATAATGGCAAACAAGTCAAACAATGTGAGAATCTATATAAATTACATATAACATTTGCCTTCAACAAATGCCTATTTTTTAGAGAGATTTTTGCTATAGGATACATTTGCTCACCATAGAGACAGAGAGAGACAGAGACACAGAAAGTGAGAAGGCTACACTGTAATCCTTTCTCCTCCATCTCCTCTCAGGATTTTTGGGTGTGCATGCACACATGCCCGATGTGAGTTTTAGGTTGCCGGGTTCAGGACTAGAACTGTGGTCAACAATGTGGGAGTCCAGTGTCATAACCATTATGCTATCTGCTAGTCCACAACAATTGCTTTTTATAGTATTGATAAATAGATACATTTTCTTAAACATGTTTTTATTTGCTTATTATTTTACTTAACAAATAATGGACTTTTTTTTTTTTTTGAGAGATTTTTGCTATAGGGCACGTGCGCTCGCCGGACAGACAGAGAGAGACAGAGAGACAGAAAGTGAGAAATCACCCCCCCAGGAGGAATGGTCACGCTGCAATCTCTTCTCCATTCTCCTCTCGAGATCTTGGGCACGTCCGCACATGCACCCGGCGTGAGTTTTAAGCCACCGGGTCCAGGACTCGAACCGCAGTCGACCACATGGGAGTCCAGCGACACAGCCATTACGCTAACTGCTGGTCCCAACAAATAATGGACTTTAATAAATTAATGAATATCTAACTTGTACTGGGCAAAATAAGATAGTTTATGTATAATTTTTCTCATGAAATGTCACTTTAGATTCAGCTTTGACCATCAGATGGCCTAGTGGTTGTTGTTTGACTCCCACATAGTTGGCTGCTGTTCAAGTCCTGGACATGGTGACATAAAACTCATGCCAGGCACTTGTGTGTGCATGCCCAAGATCCATTGAAAAGAATGGAGGAGGAGGGATTGCAGCATGGCCATTGCCTTTGGGGGGTGATTTCTCACTTTTGGTCTGTCTCTCTGGCAAGTGTACACATTCTATAGCAAAAAATCTCCCTAAAAAAAAATAAATAAAATACTAAATAAAAAAATAAATTTACCTTTAGTATAGCTTATATCTTTATTAGAATATGAACAAATAGGCATAGAGGTTAAGGCACTGGATCCCACATGGCCTGCACTGTGTTTCGAGTCTCAGACTTGGTGGTTTGAAAAACATACTAGATGCATGTATAGACATGTTCAAAAGCCTCACAGGAGAATGGAGGAGAAGGAATTGTGGCATGGTCATCCCCCCTCTGTTGGATGATTCTCTCTCTGTGTCTCTACTGTGAGCACATTGTGCTACAGCAATAAATAAATAAATAAATAAAAATCCTACAAATAAGAAATGGGAACAACCAACTTTTGAGTTTCCTCTTTAATAAAAGGTCAACAGAAGTAAAATAATTTTGTAAGTTATGTCATCGACTTATAACAATTATGTCTCTATATCATTAAAAAGTTAATTCTAAGGATCAGCCCATACTGCAGTAGGTAAGGGAGCTGGATACCTCATGGCCAGATGCAGTTCTAAAAACTGCCCCAGCAGCTTGAAAAAACATACTGGGCATGTGTACATTCTGATGAGATGGGGGAGGGGAGGAGAAAGGATTGTGGCATGACCATGTCCATTGTTGAGAGTGCTCTTTAAGACCCTCTGTCTCTGGTGAGGGCATGCACCATCTGGCTGAATAAATAAGTAGGTAGGTAAGTAAGTAAGTAAGTAAATAAATAAATAAATATCCAGCTCCAAATTAAACTCGGAGAAAATTTACACTATATTTTTGTAGTAAGACATAATAAAAACAATATTCCAGCAACACAGATAATTCAACAAAACAGTGAAACAGTTAAATGACTTAAAAACAAACAAACAGAAACTTTCATGTGGTGATTTGGGATACATTGATACAGATCTATTTGTAAGGTTCTTCTCTCGCTCTCTCTCTTTTTTTAAAGTCATTCTTTCAGCTCCAGAACAGTAGTCCAAGTTAGTTCTATTCTTGACCTCTTTTACTGCTGCCTCAGTCACAGATGATTTAATTCTAAGGACTAAGATCTATTCAAAGTCCAATAAAACAGAAGTTTGTGAAAAGGCTGTTGAGGCAATCCTTCGGACATTCAAAAAAATCCCTATAGCAAAGTTTCTTGAAGCCTGAACTATAAATTCAGAAACCAAGATCTTCTACCCATTTTTCTATAATTGCTTCCTTTTCTTGCTTCTTCTTACAAATTCTTTTAACTTCACAATTTCAAATGCTTAGAAAATGAGTTCTGATGAATCTAGGGTGGGTCGCTCCAATGTGCCATCTTGGGCCATGAGATTTGTATTCACATGTATATATGGAAGTTTCCTGAAACACACAGGGCCACCCACCCTCAAGCCTGGGGGATAGGCAGGTTTTCTAAGAGGTAGGATAACTGGGGGGAAATAGCATCTGATCCACTCTAAAAGTCTAGGCTCAAGATCTATCACACTGGCCATTTATGATGTTTGTTCCTTCAGACTTTCTGTAGTCTTCATAAAATACAATTAGGTTCCCCAAGCATATTCCCCAATGCCCCGCAGAGAGCTTAATGATGGGTACTGGAAGATCTCAAGGGATCTGAAATGATGCTTTAAATATAGCAGCTTAGATTTTGGCTGGATCGGTAGCACCCAGAAGGATGGTCATTGTCCTAAACTCTGTTCAAGGTAACCACATGCTGACTTTCCAAAACGTGTCTTAGGGATCATTGTCCTGTGAGCCTATTTTTGGTGCTTGTGTCTTTGAGACTGTACGTTCTATTGGAACTATCTAATGCTTACTTCTTTTAGATTGTGTCTACACTGAGTTTCCTGTTTGGATTAGAATCTGTATAGTTCTGGGAACAGCACCAAATCACATTTTGAGGCTTTAAGTGGAAAACATCAACTCTCGATACCCTTGGGCCTAAGCTTGTGTCTACAAATAGCTTCTTTTTGTGGCAACAAATTAGTTCTGGGGTTTATTTTCTTCTGCATTATTTCCGATGTCTGCCTCACTGCCTGAATTTGCTGAGTGATAGTCAAGTCCTTCATTTATCTTATAAGTAGATCTTGCCTAGAGTTCTCCTTTTTACTTCCATCTTTTGACCTTCCTGATTGTTGAGTTTAAACTCTACTCCATGTTTAAAACTCCTGCATAGAATGTTAGGGGGAGAGGTGCTGTGGACAGCAGAAATATCCTTTTGTAAATGGGGCTTTAGCAACATTTTTTAATTACATCTGATTTAATCCCATAAAGAAAGCATTTGACTATTGACTTACACAGGCATGTTATTTTCTCACAGCTAAGAGGCGATCAGGTGGTTTGCTGTGTGTGCAGTGACCACTCCGTGACTCTCCTTCACCTTGAGGCAAAGAGGTGCCTTCTGCGTGCTCGGAAGCACCTTTTCCCTGTGAGGATGATCAAATGGCACCCAGTTGAGAACTTTTTGATTGTTGGGTGTGCAGATGACTCTGTCTACATCTGGGAAATTGAAACAGGTACGTTGAAATTTTACTCTTCTTCCTTTCTCTATTTGTGATGTTCAAGCATTTGGCCCAGTAAAGAGATTCAGAGAAGATATGATGGTGACCTCACTTGCTTTCATCTTCATTTGGGCTGTATTTAATGGCTTTGGTTGAAGGCATGTGTGGAAAATAATACACAGCAGCCCAAGTCAGATCCTGAACAACTGATGATTAGCTGACAGGGCAGGGCAAGGAATGAGCCGGATATTTCTGGAAGCTATAAATAAAAACATAAGTTATCTACTTTAATTATTAACAAGAGAGAAATTTAGTGTCCTCCTGGTCTCAAGTTATCATTAAATTCTGCCTCCTTCAGCATACTCACCATCTCAGCAATGTTTTGAGCTAATTGATGATCTGTAATAATGGAGTAAAATTAATTACAAAACTCCAGAAAGTTGAGTCAGGGAAACTGAAAACTGAGTGACTCAGTGGAACTTTTGATACTGTAATGTAGAGAATATATAGTTTGACCCTTGAAGGTTTTTTCAAAAGTGTTTTACTGTGTAGGAGTAACATGTTTCAGGAAAATGCTGGGAACATATCAAATGAGGTGAGATAATTAATGAATGTGAGTCAGGGGAGTGTGCTTAGAGTACATTTTACTGAAACTATTGCATGATTCCTATTGATTAATCAGTGGTGGGTTTATGATGGGTGCTATTAACAGACTAGATAGTTTATAATATTAGTTCAGAGCATACTTCACCAAAATAATTGCGATTTTCTTTGCACTTGACTCTCATGGGCTAACGATAATGACTAATGTACTAGCTTATAGAAGATACAACCTAATACTGCCTTAAATTTGTGCCTTGTTTTAGAGCTATGCTGGATTTTCACATTCATTTCCTCATTAGATTCTTAAGACTTCTGGGGTGGGTAGGAGAGATCTCATTCACCATTTCACTGATAAAGAATTTGGAGATCTGATTCATAAATGTTTAAGATTGCACAGATATTTTTTGCTATGCAAAGTAAATGTTTGTAGAAAAATGTAAAAATAAATAAATGAAAGAAAAAAAATAATAAAAAAAGATTGCACAGATAATTAAGTGGTGAGCCAATGAGATTCCCTGTTGTTCTTTGCATGATATACACACAATTAGTAGTTTTAGAGTTGTTAAGTAATTTATTGATATAAATGGCAGTTGAGTATAATGGGTAAAAGAAGCTCTAAAATAGGGCTTGCCCTCATGAAGAATTATATATGGGGTCTTCAAAAAGTTAATGGAAAATGCTTATGAAAAGCTTCATAGAACTCAAAAATTTGTGCACCAAAATAAACTCATATCTTAATTCCATTTTTCTATGAATATTTTTGAAGTCCCATCATATGACCTTGGAAAATTATTTGCATGTCAGTTTCCTCATCTATGAAATGTGAGTGACAGAGACTGTCTTCCTTTTAGGATTAAATGAGGATTAGGATTAAATACCTATTAGGATTAAATACCTACAGTGCTTGTAAACAGTGCCTATATGTGGTAAGCCCTTAGTAATACTTAACTATAACTGTGATTATCAAAGAACACAGCAAAACCTTGACTTCTACTTGTAAAATGAGTATGTGAACCATATGTATTCATAAGTGTCTACAGTTGTGTTTTCAATTGTAGTCTCCTTAAAAACAAACATATTTTTTTCACAAATAATAGAATCCAGTAAGAAATAAAGAAATATCTGGGCCTTTACAAGTCTTCATGGCCCCATTTCTCCATTAGGATCCTTTCAGGCTATGTGACTTTTTATATAGTATTAGGTTGTTGGGAAAGTCAGGGTGCATTTTTGCATAGAAAAATACCTCATGAATTTCAGAACAACCTAATATGTTCCAGTGGGGTGAGAAGAAAAAGAGGTTGCCAAACTAGTAGTACTTTTTGATATTATATTTACTCTCAATTTGTATTTACTTTTATTATTTATTTTTTACTTTAAAAAATGTTTATTTACTTCTTCCATGAGCTATAGACAGAGAGAGACACACACACATAAACACACAGGGAGATAGCACCTCCAACTTCAATGCCACAATCTAGCCCAACTTTAGCCAGTCCTGAATCACAGGCATGCTCATGCCTGGTGTAGTCAGGGAGGCCTCTGAACATGAACCTAGAATCTTCTCTTGTGGATCAGTCTTGCAGAGCATCACATTATACCACTGTACCACTGTCCAGAACCCCTCTTTCTTTTTTATATACCTAAAATATGTAATCAAATGTTATAGAACATTAGAAAAATAAAGAAACAGAGACATTAATTTTACCCTACCATGTAAAGATAAGTGGTATTAATATTTTGATCTACTGTCTGTCTTTTCCTGTCCATAAGTAGATGTCTATCTTGTATTTCAGTCACAATTCTGAAAGGAAACTGAATTTAACCCAGATAGGTCAGATGAAGAGACTTTAATGAAACAACTTTGTACAGAGGTGTGGGTAGGGACTGGGGAACAGATGGGAATGGGTGGTGAGATCTCCAGCATCTAGACACTGGCAGCATCAGGAAGCTCTTACCAATGCTAGGGCTCAAACAACAGAGAAGAAAATCATGTTAATGGAACCCAGTGATAATGGAAGCCAGTGAGGACGGAAGCCCAGAAGGAGTGGTCACCCCTGCAGTCAGGGAAGAGAAACAGCTCCTGCCAGGTACAGGATTGAAACAAAACAGAGAAAAAGCCTCTTCTTCCTCTGCACTTGTCTCCTCTAGGTTAATTGGACTGGAAGTCACAGGGGAAGAGCATTTAGTTCTGAGCAACAGCCTCTCTGTACACAGAGCAGAGCATAGGATAGAAAAGGATGGAGTGAGTTGTCAATTGGCAATAATTGCTGTAGTGACCATCATGGACACACCATACTTTAATTCAGGATTCTCCTGTGTTTGGTTATTTATATTAGTTCCTATTTGAAGTTTAGTTTAGAATTGCCATATTGAGTAATACGTATTCATATATTGCCGAATTCATTTATGGAAGATTTGTTCCAAATGAGGCTGTTTACCTCTTTGGCTATCTACATTAATAGTGGAAAAACAAACTCAAGACCAACCTAGGGGGTACAGTGCTGATAGCCACTTGGTTGACATGGCTTTGGATCCCTGGGTTGGCCCGAAAATGTTCTGGGGCTGTGGGTGGGCATCCAAGATTCTCAAGAGCTAGAGGGCTGGGGAGAGGAATCATGGTACAGTGAGACCCTGTTAAGGGTGCTTCTCCCTCTCTTACATATACATACATGCACTAATGTTAAAAATAAATAAACACAACCTCAACTCTACCTAATATAGAACTTATAGCAGGTGATAATATTACTAATAATTGTATTATTTGTGATGAACCCCTCACTTTAAAGCGTCATGTCATTGGCCATTTCGTTTGAGCCCTAACATTCCCTGTGGCAGTGGGTGATGGTCCCTCTTTCCTCACCACACTTATTCCTGTCAAGTAAGCTCATGCTGTTTCTTTCAGTCTTGTGTCTGGTCCTGGCATCATTGTGGGTGGCCTTTAATCTCTGCAATTCCAAAATTGCTTAAAATTTAATGAACTCATTTCCCAAGATGAATTTCAGCAGGTCACAATGCTTTTGTCATCTTCACTGTACTTAATTCTGTCTTATCCTTTTTGTGTCAAGTAGAATAATATGGAATGGGGAAGCTTTTCCATTTGTATTTTCATAAAGTTATGGAGAAAAATACCAGCAAACAGCAAAACAGTCTAAAAAGACCTCTGTGAGCATATGGGATGCTTGTTTACTGAAGTGCCTTGCTCGTGAGTAAATGAATGGATGAGCAATGAATGAATGAACTAACTGAAATGTTCGTGGATCTCAGTACACTGAATACAAATGAGCTCACCTTTACATTGACCAACCATAATGGCTCTTTGATCATGGCTGCCCAACGGCAGATAGATGCAACCTTAGCTTTCTTCTCTAAGACTCCCCTAGGGCTTCTGGAGTTCCCTTAGCATGTCTCACCTCTTTAGGTGTAGATTTCTGTGTTTTCTACTCCAATGAGTTTTTCTTGTATCTTTGTCTGTTAGCTTTGTTTCTACCTGCTCCTTCTGTATGGTTCAAAATTAGTTCCAAGTATGAATGAACCTATTCTTCATTCCATTTCTCTAGCACTCTAAATATATAAAATAAAAATAGGTTGACATGAAGGTGCTTGTCAGATTTTTTATTACTAGATCAACTCTAGACTCCAAAGAGGGAAAATACAAAGTGATAGTGAAATGTTTTGAGGAAGGAATTTATAAAGAAGAAGCAGAGGAAGGGGTTTGAAGACACAGCAGTGGACTCCTAAATAGTCCAGAAGTCTGCCTTGGTAGAAGTGGAGGGTTAAGTGTGGGTGTAGTTTGGAAGGTCGCGGGGTATTGGGTCATTCTCTCTACACCCTTCTCCAGATGTGGAGGATGGAATATGAGACCTGTTTGCTTTCCACCAGTACTGTGTAGCAGCCTATTCTCCCTTCATCCAGGAGTCTCTGGCAGACTACACAAGCGTATTCAGAGGGACTTTCGTCCAGGCCTATTTTATCTTGGCATGATGCTCTCTGTGACAGCTGTCATAGACAGAGGCATGCCAGGGTGGAGTTCCGGGTCCTTGGTGGGCATGTGCATCTCATGGAACAGGCAGACTTAAGTAGAGAGGTACGAGTGCAGAGCTGTGGGTTCTTGTCTTTTGCAAACTGTGCAGTGCTGCCAGTTTGGGAGTCATGAGAGCATTCAGTTTTGCTTATTGATTTGCCGGATGTCCCGTGATGTTTAGGCCTGATTAGGAAGGAAAAAAAATTGGAGATGTCATTTTGATTAATATCTGAGCTCCCTCAGTGTGTTTGGCACTGACAACTCCGGGCAGCTTGGTTGCCCTCATTGCTGTGAGACACAATAGGGATAATGTAATACTGATTTTTTTCCCCCTAAAATAAATTTCAGCTCTGAGCTAATTATCTTTTTAAGAATTGGATTCAAAATAATT